CCAACCTACTAGTTTGTTCCGTTCCTTTTCCTTTTACCTTTCCTTCGTTGGTTTCGTTTCGGTAGGTGCGACCTCCACACTACCTTCGTTACGTATGTAGTTAGTAGTAGTCTCTCTCTCTCTCTCTCTCTCTCTCTCTCTCTCTCTCTCTCTACTACTACTACTAGTAGGCACATCTATTGGCTTCTTTTTACTCACACGTTCAGTTTTCTTGGTTATAGTTTATATTAGATTATCTTTATTTCACAAGAAGTGGTGTTCTGCACTGATAATTGGTGTAGATACAACGCATCTTTTAAAACTATTAATACTTGATATTATCTTGTAAGCACTATTGCTTTGATACTATCCAACTAACATTATAATAATTTATATTGTTTATTTAATCAGATAGCGTATACAGAGCATATCTTATTGACAATCTTAAAAGACATCCAAAATATTTATTAACCATGTGCAACTATTAAAAGACTTATTATGCTGCAAAGGCATTTTTCAGGATGAAGTTTCTCAGAATGGCACCCGAGGCTTTATCCTTGCTCCCGATATTGCATCAATCCCCGAGCATGGGAGGTTTTTTTGCCTTCTTCTGTTGTTATTTCCAAACTGTTGGATTTTTCCAAGAGGATCCAACTTAAAAAGGAATTTTTGGCATCTCTTCAAAAAGTTTGTAAAAGTTTTATTTGATAATTAAGCTTTCATCAAGAAATTAGAGCATGAGCCGTTACTTACCTATGAATTGACATACTTAGGAGACACGAGGCCTCCAATTCCTATGAGATTCCTTGGGAGAGTACAAGTAGATGGCAGATTGTAGGAACAGCTGTGTGAAACAATGGACGATTACAGTTCAGGTGCGTCATTCCACTCAACAACAAGGCTGGCTGCACTCAGTTATTTCATGTCAACAGAAGACATTTCTTTGCTAATAATGATGCCGCTAATTAGATACTGTCTGTAGTTTGTCAAAAGCAAGGGGCAAATAAATGAAGAAACAAAAGATAAAAACAAGAGCATAGATGAACATCAAAAATTTCATGCTTTATAGGTGATGGCCCTACTAGCCATCTCGACTTGCCTAAAGGAAAACATAAGACAAAATCACTTGCAACTTTCCGTCGAGCTCATCCAAGCACAGTTTAGATTCCTTGATAACCGCTGAATGGATTCACTAACTAATTCCCTTTAAACAACAATCCTTAATTACATCAATAGTACAGCTAGCTGCCCTGTCCATTCACTAAACGCTCCAAGATGGACCGAAAATGGACCAAAGAACTCCACATTATATATGTTAATAATACCTGATCCTTCCAATTTCTATATACTGGCCAAACAGAATCTATCCAAGGGGTGGGGGGGCATTCAAGCTTTGCAAAATTGCTGTATACCTATGTGCCTAAAACTTGAAATCCTTCTTCTTTGCTTTCCCTTCCTTTTCCTGCATCTTGCGCTTCCTCTTTTTCTCGGCCTGCACAGAGTTTAAAAAACACAAAAAAATAATAATAGTAATAAAAATAAAAACAAAAACAAAAACAAACAAAGACTCATGAGAACCAAACAAGCATGAGCAAAAATTTCACCCCACTCTAGAATGCACTGAGAACAAACCTCTGCTACCATGTCACTGAAGTCCTCTCGTTGATTCCGCAGCTTCTCCTCTTCCCTTGCTTCCTCGTACCTGCATGATGCCGACCCCATGATGAATAACTCACACTCCAATAAAACTATGCAAGCTTGCATTAAACAGTGCATCGAGAATCCCGGTTACTATTATCAAAAAACACTTACTTTGCTGCCAGAGTAACATCATCCAAAGCCTCCAATTCCTCTGGCCTAAGAGTGACATCCACTTTGTCCGACTTTTGCCCTCGCAGTAGCTCAACCTGGTTAAGAATAACGTGGAATCAGCATGACAAAATGTAGACGATAATTTACATGAGGTCGAAAGAATTTCAGATATTTATAAGTAAAAATAAAATAAAATCTCTAGCCAACAAATTGAGCAATCATTAAGTGCCGATGGAATAACACTAAGGTTCAGAAGAATAAACTTGCTTACCCTCTTAGCACCAGTTTTGTCTGTTGCCCCAAGCACATACCTATCCAAAGGACAAAGTTGTAAAAACCAAATCAAGAATTTCCCTATGTTAAACTTCTCTCCAAAACGAGTTCACTATGAGAAATAAGAATATGCACCAAAGAAGTCCTATAATTCATGAAAGCGATGGTCAGGCAACCAACTAGTTAAGTTGAAGACATACGTGTGCGTTGTTCCGAGTAAGGTTCCTGGTGCAATCCTTTCTTCCTTCTCTTCGAGTACCTTAGTGGAACGAGAGAAAATGTAAATTTTAGAGTGGACTCCATGAGAATAAAATGGTAAACAAAAGTTATCCACCAAAATACTAATGTAGCTCAATGGAAAGGTCGTGACCAAAATCTTTCAATGTACTCACTTGATAAAGAGGCTTCTCTGGCTCTTTCCTCTGTTGCTTTCGAAGATCGATGACATCAGGTGTCTCCACACCAGTTGGCGTACTGTGGGGAACGTAAAAAACTCAATTTATTAAACACAGGGAAAAGAGAGACAGGGAAAAGAGAGACAGAGAGATAGAGAGAGAGAGAGAACCTGGAGAGGCTGTCAACTGATTGAATACCAGCCTCCAATTCTTCTTCTTCCATCTGTTCCTCCTCCTCTTCTTCTTCCTCCTCCTCTTCCTCCAAGTCACCCCAATGCTTACTCCTATCAACAGGTTCCTCCTGCAATCAAAGTAAAATGCATAATGAGACCACAACAATATTGTCATCATTAAGGAATATCAAAAAAAAAAATTGTCATTATTAAGAAAACCATAGAAACATGGAAACTTGTATTCTAACAAAGGAAGATGTTAATTGCATGCGCACCAAGTTTGTTACAATAAGGGAGGATTTATTCTATTAATTCAATTTTTCCAAACCTTACCCAAAAATAAATTACCAAGAAAAATGGATTTCCTGAAGTTAGTAACAGTTGAGTAACCAAGAGAAATGGATATCATATTTCCATACCTCATAATTAGGCTGTTCTTGATGTTGGACACCAAAAACATCTCCATATAGTGGGCGTCCAAACTACAGAATAAAATTTCACAGAATCAGTCACCAAATAATACACGATTGCACAGAACAAAACCCATATAAAATATTGCAAACACTATGAGAGTATAAATGCAAGAATCATAGGAAGCTCACTTCATCAACAGGAGGCTTGCCCCAGCCTCCAGGATGATAACCAAAGCTAGCTCCTGGTGGAATAGGAGCATTCAAGCCAGGAATTTTCAGATGCGGGTAAGATGGCGGAGGACCATATCTCTATCACAAATTTATAAACCAATCAGGAGGCAAACCAACATTCTTGTCAAGGAATTCAACTAAGAGTGAGAGAATGTTTAACTACTCAAGCAACAGAGCAAATAAAACGACAAACCAAAAATGACTGTACCGGATATTCATACAAACCTGCATATTGATGAGCCAAGGAGGTGGTGCACCTTCAGGCATACCAAGAGCTTCTTTTAGCTCTTGAGAGAGAATGCCTGGTTTCATCTCCCTGAGCTTGACCTGTATAACAAGTACATGAGCATAAACAGGAAGAAGAACAATGATCTCAACACACAACTTCAAATAATGAAAATTGCATGCACTCATGAAGATATATTCCAAGCAGCTCATCCAGCTAAAATGAAAAAACCTTGTATCAAGAAAGATGTCCTGCAATAAACTAAAATTTACAGATAACAGGTAAAAGCAAGAATATTCTGAACACGAAAGAAGGAAGCATCACCGCTATTATTATCATTGTTTTGTTAAAACGAACTAAAATTCTAGTTTACTGTTCCTATCAGTTAGGGAAAAAAAAATTCTTTTTCATTAACACATGATTGTACGTTATCACAAAAGCAATGTAAACATCAGGATAAAAGGATGTATGGCGGGTTTTTTTTTGGGGAAGTAATGACAGTTGTATGTTAGTGATGACTATTGATTTAAATGCACCAGAATAGCCATATAAGTCATGACAAAAAAAATGTCATTTGCTCGACTTTTATACAAAACAAAAAACTGTGACGTAACTAAAAGGCTTTGTTTTTTTGGAAGCCATTTTTCTTTTATAAGTATGCATCGTGCTTAGAATGACAGCCAAGAAAGATTCCATCTACTAGAAACAAGAATTTCTATATGAAAGAATAAACGGATAGAAATGACTAGGGCACCAAAAGACTGATAATATTCCTATTGCCACAGTGTACATGGTGAAACTGAAAGGAGATATCCATATAAATTGTAGACATACCATGTCTGAAAGGCCAATTTTAGGTTTGGTATTTCTGACATGTGTAGCTGTGTTAGACACTGATATGGGTAACCATTTCTTTGTAACATAGCCACAAAGTATGTGTCACACCCACAGCATCTATGCACCCCCTCCTCCCACACAGCAACTTAGCGCTGGTTCCCCTCCAACTTTCATCAAATTTCTCAGTAACAATAAACACAGTTAGGGGTACAGCCAAAGATACAACGAGCGAGGACACAACTTGGCATTTCCCAAAATCAATGATATATACATATAAAGTACAATACATAGTATATAATCTAAAAATATACAGTACATCTTGTTTCAATAAGCAATAGGAAAATTGTTGTAAAGCAATAGGAAAATTGTTGTATGCGTCGAGGGACGCATTCCTACATATGCATCCCCCGATATATTAAACATTCATCTTAAAGATGGACGCAAATGGGCGGTTCCCTGGAAAAAGTTAAAACTACTAGTCTAAATATTTTCTTCAAAAAATTATCATTCCCAGTTTTTAAGATTTATTTATTTTTACATAATCATGATCTTCCTTGATAGAGAAGAATGGAGGAACAAGATTCATGTAGCCGACACCAAATAATTGGGATAAGGCTTGAATGATGATGATCTCCATGTTAGAGATTATATATCCCTTAAGAATTAGGTCAAAAATCCAGGATTTGTAAGAGGGGACTCATCAGTCCTAGGACCCATAAAAACTGTGTCCTAAGTACTAATATATAATGTAACTATAACTTACCAATAGATTTTCATTAAATATTAGTCTTTATTATATTAATATTGTATTTTTTTTCTCTTTTATAACTTACCAGTAGATTTTCATTAAATATTAGTCACAAAAAATTTTCATTAACTTGTGTAATGATATAGTATTGTGAGTCTAGATCTCAAAATGTGTACTTGGGAATAAAAGTAGTATTGGTCTTCTAAACCCCTAGTTATTTTCTTCATCCTTTTTAGTTTTCTTTTGAGTCCCCAGCTATAACTCTATTGCTCTGCCAAGTTATTGTGACAGGATCTAAATTGAAGTATTATTAGTCTTCTAGGATGTTTCTAGTCCAGCACCTTTCAGGAGCAACCAAACTACCCACGAACTTAGAAATTGAACGCCATCATCAGATTCACCTAGGAAACCCACCTAAGGACATGATCCAAAGCTTCCAAGCAAAAGTACGATGAACTACAAGCAGTTACCTACACCTTTGCACCCTTCCCCTAACAATTAACCACCCACAATCAAACACTCCAGAGGGGACAAGACATGACATGGAAGACAAATATGGTAAACCACTCCTAGTACCACAGAGTACAACAGAGAAGTGTAAGCAATAATACAACTGGCAAGTTCTACTCCAAGACACATCAATACTCTCCACCCTTGAATGTGAAAAACTTACGTCCCCTGACTCCCATCTCAAATCCCTCGGTAAACACAAAACACCCCACACCCTCCCTTGCCCTCAAATCACTCCATCAAACACATCCCCCTCTCCCTCTCCTAATCATTGTTACAGTCACAATAGCTAAAGGGTGCAGTTGGCATACGGATGCATCCGTAGCTCTAGAGGTAAGGTGCACCTTCAAATTTTATCATGGTATATAATTTTGATGTAAAACGTTTTTAGGATTATCTCAAAATCTATTTTTATATCTAATTTTAAAATTTTAAATTTCAAAAATGGTTAAAATCAGGTAGATCTATAAACATATGAAAATCTTGACTATGGACGGTGTAGATAATATATTGTAAAATGCACTATTTCTTAGACTTAAAATCTTTTTATTTTTCATGGTCATACATCTCGATGTCGAGATGATCAAGCAAAGGGTTTTTCAACATTAAAACTACCTCTTCCGATGGATTTGTGAGGTGCCTGAGATGGTGAGTTATATAATGTAGGTTGCAACCTTATATAAACTTTTTCCATAGCTAAAACAAAGACCCTCAGATGCCTAAGAAAAACAAATTTGTTCCTGTTCCCACCTTATACCCAGTCATTCTCTGCTCACTTTTAATAGCCATCCAATAACCAGACCTACAAAGGGACCTGCAAAGCTCCTCATCCCTACTCCCCTCTATACATTATACAACTCACCATCTCATTCACACGAGTTATTCATCCTCCAAGACCACAATGGCCACCTGCCTGAAATTCCTCTATTCATCTTCTTATCCTACCCTGCACATTTGAACAACAAAAATGCCCCCATTTACCAATATGGAATTACAATCACTTGTAATCTTCAATTAAGAAGTTTATTCTAGCGTCTCTAATTTCGCTCATAGTGACTGTCCTCCAGGAAATAGCAAATCGCACATTTGCTGAACCACCTTCGATTCATATCCCTCCACAAAACAGTAACTGGATTTAAGCGTTCAACTGAACTAATCCTGGTCAAGGTCATTGAACTGAAGCAATTCAAGCCGGAAATAAGGATGGGCAAAAGGTGTGGCCGCCTTAAGTGGCAGAGCTGAGCTACTTGATTCAGGAGCTAAATCCCCAGGTCATCCTATTCTTTGACAAGGGTGACAATATATGTATATATCCAATAATAACTGCACAAAAGTGAGAATGATTGCAGCCCAGAAACTGGGTGCTCAGGTTACAAGAGAGATCAAAAGGCATCCCACAGGCTGGGTGCTCTAGATATAGAATTCAAAGCTAGTGTAGAGGTTGTAGGCCACCCACATTATATCTGGTGCTCAACCTAATTTAGCTGAAGCGAGGTTATAGGATGTGTTGGACCCTACAAATTACCAGGCCAGCAACATTAGTATGATATTGGAATCAATATCGAGCAAAAATTAATTTATATGAAAATAAGGTGATAGAGATCTAGACAAGGAAAGTTTGATCGAGATGAGAAGGAGGGATAAGTTTTTTTTTTATAAAAAATAAAAATAAAAATAAAAAGTCTAATGAGTCCAAAATAAACTAACACAGCTATTAGAGTAAACAAAGAGAAAGGGGAAATATCTAGTACGTCCAATTTTTATATGTAATTTCTCTAATCTTTATGTTAAATATAAACTTTATTTGCATTCTAAAAAGTACTTACAGAAAGATAAGCAAATGAAATGTAATACATGAAGACTGGAACTTACATAGTACAAATACAAAAGCTGGTGAAGAGCTTCCACTCTTCAAGACAGTAAGTAGGCAGACTACTAAGATTACAATCACACATTCACTCAACTTTCCGAGTGGTTTATGATACACAACCGGATATACAGTGACTAATAAGCACAAGAATTAGAGACAGAGAAGTTTTACAGAAAAGAAGAGCTTGAAATTGGATATTCACTGAGATTTATTAAAGTGCATGGATGGAAGACCCTGTAAAAGGTTTTGAGTAAAGCAAGAATAAGCTATTGAAATGTTTCGAAATTTACCCGGACTACAAGAGGAGTACCCAAGAGCTGAGAAGAGAAGTGAGCAGACTCTTTCGAGCAGAGGTTTATAAAACAGAAATGGAAGAGAGGGAGAGCAAAGAGAAAAGATAGCAGAGGGAAGGAAGAGAGCAGACAGAGGACTCCATCTTTTGGTCTTCAGCTTATGCCAGGCTCTTGGTATTTATAAGCCTCCGACCCCAAACAATTACAAATTATCCTTCATTAGTCGATGTCGCTTCAAAGCTTGCAACAGTGCATTGATTTGGCTAAAAGGTTATGAATAGTGACTTGAAGGGACCGAAAGGTTGTTGGCAACATCTTTGCATAGTGAAAAGTTATGAACAGTGTCATGAGGGGACTGAAAAGTTGTCGGCATAGTGGACAGGTGGCCTTAGTGGAGAATCTTGAATAGTAGACTGTTGAATAGCAGACAGCATTCGTCGCCTTATGTCGGTGCGGTAGGATGGGTGGCAGATTATGTCGGTGCAGTGGGACAGGTGGCAGATCGCAATCTTTGTAGGCCGGGTGTTGATATGGTCGGGCCGATTATTGACTATCGGGCCTTTCATCGGGCTTCTATTGGGAGAAGTCTATTTCTGGCTGGATTAATCCACAGTCTTCGTTTTCCACTGCGTAATCTTCATCATTTTGTGATGAGGTAGACATAGATTCGCCTTCTTCTTCAAATATCTGCAATAATTGTTTCTTCAACTCTTCCTTGGTTGCTTTGGGGTTCTGTTTTCTCATTTTATTGATATATTCAGAAAAGCTATTTGGGTTTTCTTGTGGCATTTGGCCTGGGACTTTTCTTAGCTTAATATAGTCTGGATCAAGGGACTTGTTTTC